CTCCTCACAACACCATTTCAAGAAGGCGTCATCATACCACGTCCTTGACAAGGAAGTCTAAGCTGGGAGACAGACGTGACCACTCTTCTCCATCTCAAACACAGTGTAGGCAGCACAGCCATTGTTGGTTTGGACAGAAGACTCAGAATTCAGAATTGCGAAAGGAAAGGAAGAGGAGAGGACTAAGGTTCAGACATGCGCATTAGCATCAGCCTCTGGTGTCATTCGTCCAACTGTGATCCAGCCAGATCACGGCAAGATCCACAGGCCAACGACTTTGCACTGTGTGGGAATTACAAGAAGAAACTGCTCCTTCCGGAATCCCACGGTGACTTCCCCCCAACTCCGTTTCTGAATCATTCTCTCTTCAAAGGAGAACAGGTCAGTTGGTTGGGAATCACCAAGTCTATAAAACCTGTGTCCGGTTCTGTTCCAAAACACAAGGCCAGCTGTCTGAGGCCACCAGCCGTGCCTGCCAGGGTTCAACACAGGAAGCAGGAGCATCGTTATCGCTCGCCCCAAAGGCATATTACAGAGACACTGATGGAGCTTCTCCCTCACGGAAGCTCCCTCTGAACCTGTAAGGCAACAAAAGTACAGCTTTGGGCTTTCCTTGGGTCGGTTGGCCCTCTGCAGAGCAGACTGGCAGTGGCGTGGAGATCATTACAGGAAATAATAACAGTAACTGCTTTTATAGCGCACTTTCTCGGTGACAGCCACTGTGCTACATGTGTTCTAAGATTTTATCATTTGGTTCTCATAGAAATGCCAAGTCAAAAGTCATAAAAACGGGGCTGGGGAGATGGCTCAGTGAACAGACCCTTGTCATCAATCGTGAAGACTAGACTTTGTATTTCCTGAATCCTTTTACGTGCTGGATGGGAGTCCGGGTCAGCTTGCAATCCCGGCACTCGGAAGGCAGAGGCAGGAGATGCCTGCAGCAAGCGGGCTAGCCAGGCTACCTCTATCGGTGAATTCTGTGTTTAACCAGGAGACTCAGCCCCAGTGAACAAGATGGAGAGCAACTAGGGAAGACTCCTGATGTCAGCCCTGGCCCCTACCTACATGCACATGCATACATGTTATACACGCCCCACATACGTGTGCTCACACATGTGTCAGCACACATACACATGAGAAAAAAAGTTAAGTCATAAAAACAAACCTTGTTTTTAGCTGGGCAGTGGTGGCACACGCCTTTAATCCCCGCACTTGGGAGGCAGAGGTAGGCAGATCTCTGTGAGTCTTAGGCCAGCCTGGTCTACAAGAGCTAGTTCCAGGATATCTAGGACTGTTACACAGAGAAACCCTGCCTCAAAAAAGCAAAAACTAAACAAAAAACCAACCCTGTTTTTGAGTCGGAGAAGTGATTTGGTGGTCAAGTACATGCCTGAGGTCTTAGGCTCTGTTCTTAAAATCTCCAATCAGTCAATCAACTAAATCTCCCTTTTTACATATGAGACATAGAGAGCTTGTCATTTGTGCAAAGTCTTATAGCTGGGATGTGGCAAAGCTCAGGAGGACGTGAGTCTAAGGTAATTTTAACCACTGTGCCATGCTAGAGAAATAAGTGACGCCATCCATTGATCTTTCAGGCATCCATGTAGGTGAGGGTCCCACAGGAGACAGAAACACACTCCAGTAGGGCCACTGAGAGATAGTAAATGCACAGTCTATAGCTTAAAATGTAGGCAAGACTAAGTAAAACCAATAGGGGGGTTAAGTTTCCAGGCTCCGGCCAGCAGGGAGCCTGTCCCCATCCTGTGCCTGAAAGAAAATGGAGAGGTCTGTCTGAAAGGAAGGCTGACCTTCTGGAAGAAATACAGGAACAAATAGGCTGAGTTATTCTCCTCTTCCTTCTCAACTCAGCCAGTATTTGCCAATGGCCAGACAATCTGGGAGTGGAAGACTGGGTCCCGTCAGTACCCGTCATGCAGATTGGTGTCCAGGGACATCAAGGGACATGGGTTTGGACCTTCTAAAGCTCAGATAACATCGGCCTCTTTTCCACTGGGGTTTCGTCATCTCGGTCCCTAAGGAATAACAATTATTTTTACTCTGGCTTTGAAGTCGGTGCTCTTTTCTCACTCACGTCTATTGTTGGTTTTGAGAAATATAAAGCCATCCTTTGCATTGAACCCATACATGAAACTAGGATTTTCTCTCAGGAGAATTGCCTGGATCTTATCTTTAAGAATTCCTCAAATGGACCAACTGAATTCTCGTAATTATTTTTTTAAATATTCACATACTTAATAAATGATCCCAACAATTTTCTAAATGGCAATTTATAGACTCAGAAAAAAATGAATTACCAATTTTTAAGCAATCCCTTTTCTTTTACATAGTAGTTGACACAAATTAACACAAGAATCAAGCTTTTCAATGTTGTTATTCTGTATTTTGTTTTATTTTATTTACTTATTTATAACAAGATTTTTATTATATAACCCAGGCTGGTGTCAAACTCGTAAATTCTTCTGCCTCCACCTTCCAAGTACTGGTTATAGGCCTGCACCCAGCATAGGTACATGGCATTTTAAATTCTGTTTTAAAATACATTTTTGAGCAATTAATGTTAAAGTCCAATATAAAAAATTCACAACTAAATGATCATTTAAAATGTATTACTTCTTCTCTGGAGCTAAAATGCCCCAGTTGTTCTGTCTCTCCACAAAAATAAGGCCCCATGTTAACTTTGAAAAGTGGGTGTCTTTTCATAACAATGTGAGACCATGACCTTCTTAAGAAAAAATACAAAACAACAACAGAACAAAACCAGGCCTGTCAGATACTTTTCTTAGCAAAATCTTGGGCCTCTCCTTAATGAGCTTATTGTTGTATATAAAGATAGCTGCGCTGGGAGAAGAGGGTGCCCTCTTCTGGGGCTCCCCATGCGGTGTGCTGTGGTCCTGGAGCAGAGTAACTGGTGACAGAGACTTCTTTGTGCCTGGTAACCTTGCAATGGAGCCAAAGTTGGTTGGCAGCCTGATCTCCACAGTCCGCTGAACACCAAAGATGAGCCTGGCTCCTGGCCACCAAGGCAGTCGCCAAGCCCTGCTTCCATCCACTCAAGGCTGCTCCGACTTTTGATATTTTAAACAATGGAAGTGAAACCACCCCAGTGAAGAGAAAGAACAATGGTGTTTTGACAAATGGAACAAAGACAGACTCTGACTGACCATTTAGGTCAGAAAAAAAATTAAGGCAAAGCCTTAGGACCTTCTGCCTTCTGCCAAGAAGCCAACACCCTGCAGTTGGTTACCTCAGCAAGATGGTAGACCCACTTCACCAGGCCCCTTGGAGTCAGCAGTTTTGTTGGATATTTTCTTCCTCTTTGGAGCTTTTTAAACATCTATTTCATTGTGTCTGTGCATGTCCATGGGTACACATGTGCCACTGTGGGTCTGTGAAGCCAGAGGACAACTTGAAGGCATCACTTCTGTCCTTTATGTGGGTACCAGGGCTGAATTCATGCCATTGGCCTTGGCAGCAAGCACACTTACCTTCTGAGCCACCTTGCAATTTTTTCATAGAAGTATTCTGCAAGGGGATCTTATTTTAGGACTTAAACACGGAGTAAAATATGTATGCTTGGAACCATACAGCCACAAAACCCCAGAGATTTAAGAAAGACCTTGGCAAATAGAGATTGTGAGACTTACAGGAAAATATTCTTTTGTCTTCTTGGAGATCTGCTAAGATGGTTCAAATAGAGTCTTAGCCAGGAAATGGGAATGGTCTAAGGAACCTCTCACTGCCCTTTTGAGACCTGTAATCTTCTAAAAATGGACATTAGGAAGCATTCATTCATGACCTTGAAGTGTCATTTATTTAAAAAAAAAGAATATTGTAATGTATCAGTAAAATGAGCTTGGAAGAAGGTTTACATGAAAGCTATTAGTATGCGTGCCATTCCCCACCTTGACCCCCACAGGAATGTGTAAATTGTAGCACACGGAATGTAAGCGGCTGGGGCCATGTTTCATAAATCTGCCTTGCAATGAGCCTTGTGCGAGAACAGGCCCCGGGAAGGGAGGTCTCTGACTGTGAATCTCTAGTGATTAATTGGGCCAGAATCTGGCAACTGACAATTTCCTCACAGTGTTTTTGGACAAAGGGGCGCTTTCTCGTGGAACCCATCCCTGGAGTAGGTAATAGCTTCACCTCTTGCCTACTGGAAGTTCTGAGACTCTGAAGTTAAATCCTGAGCAAAGTGGAAACCCCACCCACCTCTGACTGAGTCTTACAACTTTGGCATTCAGGAGAGGAGAGAGGTCACCCGTGGAAGCTCGAGTCTGCAGTTAGGCTGGGAACTCACCCCTCCCTTTCACCATCTTTTATGGAAAAGTGGGTTCTTTGTATTTCTGTTTCACACTGATAGTCAAGAAAAGACTGACCAGTACACCCCAAGTCCCTTCATCACCCAAAGCTACTTCACATAAACCTCAGCCTCTGCCATTAACTTCCATGTTGATCATTAAGATTTAAAAAAAAAAAAAAAACAAGATTCTCCCCAAATGGTAACTATGTCAGTGTTTTCTTGTGTTGCTAAGAGAGATAAGATAGCCTTCCTGGCCTGCCTGGAGAAGAAAGAGACTTAGCTTCTTCTTGCGTTTCAGTTTGTTGGTGTCGGAATTGTGTAATAGGGTAGAAAGAAGAAGCATAAGAGGAGGGAAAAGAATAGAGGGGCCATGGATGGCTGAATGGGCGACTCTCCATCAAGCCTGACAGGCTAACTTTGATCCACAGACCCCCACTGACCTCCACACACGCGCTGTGGCACACCCATCAATAGATAAGGAAAAGTCTTAATTAAAAGAAAATAAATAGAATTAAAAAGTCTGAATTTATTTATTTATTTTGAGACAGGGTTTTACTATATAGCCCTGGCTGATCTGGAACTCACGCTGTAGGTCAGACTAACTGTAAAATCACTGAGATTGGCCTGCCTCTGCCTCCCAAATGCTGAGGTTAAAGGTATGCATCACCATGTTCAACTGGATTGATTTTTCTTCTTTTAAACAAAAAATATATCTGTGAAGTAAAAAATATTTTTAAAATATTCTTCATGCAATTGAGGCAAAGTTGTGGAAAGCCTATTGGGAGTGTCCAGGGTGCAGGACACCAGGACTGGTGGGGAAGAGGAGAGCATTCTAGAAATAGAGGTAGGAAAACTGCTGTCAGTCCTGGCTTTGCCCTCAATGGACTTAAGCATAGAAATCTCCAATAATCTCCCTGCTCGACTAGCTCTGTGAGGAGTTGGTGAGATCTGTCAGCATTTGTGGCCTTAAATTCAGCAGACTAAGTTCTGTGCAGTTATGGCTAGAGATTGTCCACATTGCTTGCACACCCCATGGCTTTAACCTCTCGCCAGCCCACTAGCGTGAATTACTGGAGGGAAGGGGCGCCCCCTACCAACAAAACCCCCTGCTTCTGTCTTCCCAAGTGGCTTCTATTCAAGGCAAAATGTTTGGCTTGCTAGGCACTTCGGTCAGGGCCTGTGACTTGGCTGTGCTCAGCAGAAGGGAGGCAGGAAAGCTTGCTTTGAAACTGTAGCAAGCCTTCCAGCTGATTCAGTTCCATTCTGGTTATAAATATCAAGGGGAAGCCTTGGCTCCTCTGCCTTGTTTACTGTGGAGGTGTGGGATGCTCCACTGAAAGGTTTGCTGATTTGTCAGACTGCCTGATACTGTTACAGCATCACAGGCAAAGGGTGCCTGGGCACAGGAGGGACAGCCACCTTCCTGGGGATGCTGTGGAAGCTAGGACAGGCCCTGTACCCACAGAGAGAGGGCAAGAGAAATGCTCAGCTCCCAGCCTTGGCACCAATAAGCTGTGCTCCCTCTTCTTGCATTTGGCTTTGGTGCCTCAGGCCTGAAAATAAAAGATTAGAACAGATGATTCCAAAGGCCCCTCCCCCCAACAATCTTTGTTTCAGGCATTTGGAGCATCTACAGATGCTGGGGAACACTGCAAGCCACGGGTGTCTGATAAGAAACGGCATGACTGCTGGGGACGGGTGGAGTTCGTTTTCAGTTTTTTTAATGGCTCACCCTCGGGCCCTGAAACGTCCTTTCTTAGGAAATACTAACACAAATGTTCAAACGTGGATGTTTGGAACTGTAAAATATCCAGATCAATGCAGAGGCCCATTAGTGGCATGGGGGGGGTAAGATAAATAAATCTATGGCGCAACTACGATAATGACGGTAGAGCCACATAGACTAAAAAAAAAAAAATTCAGTAACTACCAGTTAAGGACTCGGTTCGGATTCCCAGAACCCACATAAAACCTGGATGCCAGGGCATGTGCCTGGAAACTTAGCACAGGAGAGATGGAGACAGGTGGATGGTGGGGACTCACTAGCCAGTTAGTCTAACCAAAACTGTGAGCTCCGGGCTCAGTTAGAGACCTATCTCAAAAACAAACAAACAAAAGAGGGGGGATAGAGAGCTGACTCAGCAGTTTAGACCACCTGGTGTTCTCGCGGAGGACTTGGGTTCTCTTCCTAGCTCCTGAATAGTGGCTTAACTCCATTTAACTGTCCTTAACTCCAGTTCCTGGCAACCTGATGCCCTCTTCTGGCCTACAAGGGTGCCAGGCACACATGTGGTGCACATAGATACATGCAAGCAAACACATATATAAATTAAAAAGAAATCTTAAGAAGGAAATTGAAGACATCCAGATGTCTACCCTGCTCTACACATACACACACAAACACACATACACACACACACACACACACATGCACACACACATGCATCCAAAATACAACTTCATGTGAAAAAAGACTAGATTGTTCAGTAAAATAAACATTATGATTTATTAAATTTCCTAAAATGAAATTTAGATAAAGGTATTATGGAATGTAGTAGATAGATCATCTTTAATTACACATTTCTACTTATAGTTACAAACACAAAGAGCCGAGACGACTCTAGATCAAACTTTTAACAGGGTTGAATTTTCATAGCTCAGCAGGAGATTGGCTCCTGAGTACCCAACATGGGGCTGGTGTAACAGACAAGATAAAGCTTAATTAACTTAATTCTAATTGCTTGAAATTTCGCATAAAATCGGGCACTTGATTCAGGTTTTGGAAAACTTTCAACCACTTAGGTACATAGATTCAGCTTTTCAGCCAGAATGGCTTTTTGACTGTGCATTTTAATGATTCAAAACATAGATGAAGCATTTCCAACGAGAAGCATCAATGAGAAGTATCTAAGCATAAACTACACAGCAGATGCAGACTACAGACAGTAACAAACAACAGTAATCCCATGTCTTGTTAATTTGATTAGATATTGCAATGATGATCTTCATACATCAGTCTAAATAAAATGTGTGACATAAGTGAATGTCACCTATTTCCTCTTTCTGCTTTAAATGCCACATGTGGGCTGGCCTTGCATGGCTATTGGACATCTTGCATTGTTCAGAACATCTGGGTGGAGAAGGAGCTGGCCAGGCTTGGAGTTTTTGACTTTGTAGATTTCTGTATTGTTTAATTTTGTTACGGTACACATGGGTTGCTTTCATTGTTTACAAAGAACAAAAAAGGGTCTTAAACAAAGTTAATTTCTATGACTATGCTTGTATATATTGTATGTATGCGTATGTGTGGGTGTGCATGCATGCACCTCTATCTGAGGGAAAGCCTGCACATGTGTGTGCCTACAAGTGAAGTCAGAGGTATGTTGACCTCCTCAACTGCTTTGAGCCAGAGGCTCTCACTGAACCTAGAGCTTGCTGATTGGTTAGACTGGCTGCCTCACAAATCCTAGGGCTCCTCCCGTGTCAACCTGCACAGTGTTGGGATTGCAGGTGTGTTCCTCGTGTGCCCCGCGTGCCTGACTTTTTACACACGTGTGCCAAAGATCTAAACTCAGGCCATCAAGCTTGTAGAGCTGGCATCTGACTGAGCCATCTCCCAAGACCCTCTAAAATATGTCTGGATGTATCAAGGAAACTGTGAGACTCTCCCCCTGATTCATTTCTGTGATACTGTTGTCAGCGCCTGAAATAAATGTTTTCCCATTAGGTGACAATAAAACTTGCCCGGTGTCTCTCTGATTTACCAGCAGTTTCTAATCACCTGACCCCCTTTTATTTTTTTATTACTGCTATCATTAACAAGGTACCCCTGCTTGACAACCATCCCAGCTGGATTAGCAAGGAATTGTTTTTCAGGGAGTAGGAGGTAAGCCCAGGAGAGATGCGAAAAGGGAGAAAAAAAAAAGATAAATAATCCTTAAAGAAATCTCTCTTCTTTTTTTCCAATTTCCTCCTTAACCCGTATCAAGATTCCCCAAAGCTTTGGGGTCTGTAGTTTTAGGCTGAACTTCCTACCTTATTAATTGACAAGGCCAGGGTTTGAACCTTTCCCCCATAGACATGTCTGTGTTACACATAAAGATGTCTGTGTTACACATCAACATGCTATGGTTCTAACAATATCACTTTCAAAGGAGCACTAATCCGCTGAAGTCACCCAGTCAGGAAACATTTGCTTGGCCGTGTCTTGTGTCTGATCTGTGTGTGTAGAAAGAAGACAATTGGGAGGGAGGAAAGAAGGAAGGATGAAGACAGAGTAAATGCACTTTTCTCCAGGGTTGGGTGTGGGGGACTGTGCCACATATCCCAGGCTGGTCTCCGATTTGCTAAGGCTGAGGATGACCTTGAACTTCTGATCCTCCTGCCTCCACCTCCTGAGCACGAGGGTTACAAGCATGAACTACCGCGCCTGGTTTATGCAGAGCTGGGACAGGATCAGGGACTGTACAAGCTGGACAGGCATTCTACCCACAGAGCTCATCCCCAGCCTACAACTGTGAGTTTGCAAGTTTGGACTTCTCAAATACCAAACTAATCCTCCGGTTCATCTTTGCTGTGCCATCAGCTTTTGCATTATCTACCCTCTGTTTAAAAAGCAAGTTGCAACCTTTCTATACAAACTTAGAGAAGGTTAGGGGAGAAGTGGTTGGGTTTGAATGGATGTGGGGTGACTGGAGCTCTCCAACACATTAGGACATGGCTGTCTGCGTGTCCCCCAGACGGCGTGGGACGCATCATAACCCCATCTCCATGCATCAGATTTCTCTGCTTTTGTCTTCCTTACTAGGCTAAAGGGTCCAGCAAGTCAGTTAAGGCCAGCCAATAGCAGGCTCGGTGAAAATGCATTGATTACTCAGTGAAAGAGTGAGTGAGGAAACGACTGGACTGGTCATCGTCTACAGCCGTGATGAAGTTAGAGTTCATCTTAGAGAATGAGGTGAAAGCTCTGTTAATACTATCTACCTTACAGACTGTATGAAATGTCCACTACGGGCTATAAACCAGCTCAGCAAAGGTGAACTGAAACACATACATCCCTGCTTTGTGATGTTTACAATCTGGGAAGAGAAAGAGGGCAGAAGTTAAGCACTAGTAAACTAAATTAAAAACTTTAGTAAGCTCTGCCAACAATATGATGAGGTGTATGATGGAGAATAGAGGGGCTACTTTAGTTTAGCCTACTTCTCTCTCCTCTAAAGGACAGTTAAGGGGAAATACCAAAGAAGAAGGTCCAATTTCTTTCCTGTTCCTTGGTGTTGGGGCTGGAACTTTTGAACTTACCTGCCAGGCATACATTCTATGGCTGTGCCACATTACATCCATGGGGGTCACTACTAAACTACTAAATCCAACACAAGGTGACAAGGAAGGAGTGACACAGGAGAGAGAGAAAGAGAGAGAGACAGAGAGAGACAGAGAGCGAAGAAGAAGAGGAGGAGGAGGAGAGGAGAGGAGAAGGGGGGAGGGGAAGGGAGAGAGAAAGGGAGGAAGAGAGAGAGAGAGAGAAAGAGAGAGAGAGAGAGAGAGAGAGAGAGAGAGAGAGAGAGAGAGAGGAGCACCAGGAATGGGGCCAGCTGCCCATGCCATTCACTGCTAAAATGAACAAGAACTTGAACTTGAATTGACTCATATGGATTGGAGAGCATACTAATGTGTTTGCCTAGCTGCGGGTCATTGTCTGTGGGAACTCACATACTGAGACTGGAAAGAGGGGGATTTCTCTTGCTTGTAGGGCAGTGCCCTTAGGAGGGGATATGATTCGGGTGAGGAATCGGCCAGCAGCAGGCTGGTGGATTTCATTCACTTCCTGCAAAGCCCCCTCGAGCCCTTCTGATCACTCTCGGTCTGAAATTCCCTATTTAAAAATACCCTCTCCACCCCCAGAAAGTTGCTACATGGGGAGGATGGGCTAGGGGTTAAAAAGCTGAGAATTCTCACATTTCAACCTACATTCCTTGATCTTTCTGAGTACTTTTGGCAATTGACTTTTAAAATTTATTTTATTGTTTTTTAGATTAAGTGTAGGTGTGTATGTGAATCCAGGTGTTCATAGAGACCAGCGACCTTGGATCTCTTGGAGCTGGAGTTACAGACAGCTGTGAGTTGCTTGAAGTGGATGCTAGGAACTGAACTCGGGTCCTCTAGAAGAGCAGCAAGTTCCCGCAACTGCTGAGCCTTCTCTCCAGTCCTGCCATCAAGTTTTATAAGCTAAACTCGAGTCCACAAAAGTTATAAATTACGAAGACAGTTCTGTTACCATATCACAACCATGTGACCTTGACCAGGAATTAAGTTTTCCTCCTTGATTGTTTATGAAATATAGGCTTCATGTAATACAATGTAAGAAATTCAGGAAAGAAGAAAATGTGACGTCACCACTGACAATATTTTGATATTCACTCATTCATCCATTGTTTTCTTCAGAGTCTAACTTTGTAGCTCAGGCTGGCCTTGAAGTTGTAGCAATCCTACTGCCTCAGCTTTCTGAGTGCTGGAACTGCAGGTGAATGGCACCATGCCCCTCTCCACTGATAATATTTAAAGAATCTTCTTGCTCAATATCTTGAAAAGAAAAGAAATGAGGTTGAATTCTACATGACAATTAGTAAGCTGTTCTTAATTCGGTAGATGTAGTCACCTTTCTACGGCAATTTGTATCAAGTTTTTATATGGGTGGTCACAAATGCAGTTAGTCAATGCTCTATTGATGGTTATTTTGGTTGTGACTTTTCACTGTATAGTTAACTTTGTGGAATTTTTACATACCTGTAAAGGAATCCAGGGGACTTGCTCCATTCTTCAATATCTAACATGTAACAATGGTTCTTACTTGGTAATTAAAAGTAAGATTGTCTTCATAAACATGTGGCCACAAAACATGAGTAATGTTCCATGGGATTCAAACATGAGATATAAATACAAAATACAAAAACTTATCGAATCAAATATGGAATTGTTCCTTAGCTTTATAAAAGAATTTGTGTCAAGTTTCACTTATTATCCAGGCTGTGTAGGAGGTGGGGAGACGTGTCTGTGGATTCTTAATGCCCCATGATTGACTAATGACTGACTGACTGATTGATTGATTTTAATTTTTAGTTTATTTACAGGAATTGAATCCCATGGACTTTCACATATGCAGTCCTCCACTGAGCTACGTCCCCAGTCCCACTAATGCTGTCATTTCTAAACTAACCTACTGACCAGGCATTCTTAGGACCCATGCCTGTGATTCCCGCACTCAGGAAGGTAAGGCAGGAAGATTGCTAATTCAAAGCTGGCCTGGGCCACATGGCAAGGTACCATCTCAAAGAAAACAAACAAAAGTGAAGGCGAAGAAACCACCTTGCTCTGTTGTGAGCACAGATTGCTAATGGAGGCCACTGCTCTCATCTAAGATGCTACCCTTTGGCCAACTAAGCAGACAGGTCAAGGTGTGGGGCCAAGTCAGAGCTCCGTACACCCAGAAGTCAGACGTGATAGGACAGGAGGATATTGCGGGTCAGAAGGCCGCACAGGCTAGGGCTGGGGAAAAGAAACCTCAATAGATTGCTGGGCAGTTAAACACAATGGAGCCAAAGCCTGGCTGTTTTTGTGCTGGGTCAACCTCTGTCTGCACGCGAGCGGGTGCACACCAATCCATTCTGCCCTCTGAGCTGACGTTCTCCTTGGTTACAAGCCGGTGATTTTCAAAAACTTTCCTGTTTCTTTTTTGGCTGTAGCAACCTGCTGTCTTAAATAGCTTCTTTATCTGGTGCGGTAATCACGGTGTGTGACTAACCGCTGTAGTTCATAAACACGCGTCTTACCGTTAGGGTCAGTAGTTCTTGGTCGTGTCTGAGCGGCAACTCCCCCAGCTGAGCTCAGCACTGAGCGAGTCACCGCTCCCTCAGCAACCGGCTGTTTGGCCCGGTTCGCTGTGGGAGGGGTCCAGTGGCATGTTACAAAAGAGGTCACATTTTTATTAAAATTGAAGTTTAATACCAAAACATACTTCAGGAGGTTGTCGCCCCACCATTTTGATTTTCCCTTCAACTTCTTTTTATATTCCAAATAATCAGCAGTGTGCACACATTTCTTCTATATTGAGGAAGGGGAGCACCTTTTCAAAATCTATAGGGGTTGGTGAGGTGGCTCAGCAGGTAAAGGCATTTATAGTACCCAAGCCTGCAACAGGAACTCTGACCCCGGAGGTGAAGGGAGGGAACTGGCTCCACAAAGCGGTCCTCTGACTTCTCTGTGGCACACATGCCCTCTCCCGTCACACCCATCCACGCAGTTAAGACATTCAGAACTTTACTTTCAAAGAAAATGCTATAGAGAATCTACAGGATCTAAGTTTGGGGAAAGGAGTTCTTAGACAACATTAAACGCATGATCCACGTGCACCAAAGGACAAACACTAAAATAAGCTTCATCAAAAAATAATAATCATCATAATTTTTAAATGTCCTAGAAAGTCATTGTTAAAAAAAGCAGAAGAGATGCTATGCTGTATAAGAAAAAAAAACTCTGCAAACCACACGTTCTGACAAGGACTTGTATTTATTGTGTGTGTGTATTTCTCAAAATTCAATATTGAAAGCAATAAACTTTCAATAAAATGGAAGGAGGAAAAAATACAAAAACAAAAACTAAGTCAATGAAAATCTAGCCAGCATCTTTCCCCCAACGAGGAAATGCAATAATAACAATTAGAACAGTTGAAGGGAAAAGTAGGGATGTCCAGCAGTAGGAAGGCTGGGGCAGGAGGACTGAGACTTCCAAGGCAGCCTAGGCTACCCAGCAAGATCCTACCCACCAAAAGGAATGATGGCAAAATGTGGAGAGCTGGATCACTGCTGCATTGTGGGTGATGTATTAAGTTCTCAACCTGTGAGCCCGTGGGGTAGAACAGCCCTTTCACAGGAGAAACCTAAGACCATCGGAAAACACAGATATTTACGTTATGATTCATAACAGTAGCAAAATTACAGTTATGAAGTAGCAACAAAAATAATTTTCTGGGGGCTGGAGAAATGGCTCAGAGGTTAAGAGCATTGCCTGCTCTTCCAAAGGTCCTGAGTTCAATTCCCAGCAACCACATGGTGGCTTACAACCATCTGTAATGAGATCTGGTGCCCTTTTCTGGCCTTCAGGCATACACACAGACAGAATATTGTATACATAATAAATAAATAAATAAATAAATAAATAAATAAATAAATAAATAAAATAATTTTCTGGTTGGGGGAGCCACCATAACTTAAAGAGCTATATTGAAGGATCACAGCATTAGGAAGGTTGAAAACCACCGCATTAAATGGTCCAGACTCTCTGATGCTAGTTTGGACTCTTTTAAAAAAAACTAGGTATATATTCTTATCCATGACAGGGCTCTGTAGTAGGATTTCTTGTCTTGAATCCCAGAGTAAAGGAAGCTCACATCTGCACAAACATCTGCCCACCAGTGTTCATAGCAGCAGGCATCCTATTGACGGGACAGCTGATCTCAAAGTCAAACACTTTATGATTCTATCGATATTGCTATAAACAGCCTCGCTGTGGCAATGTGACAGAGACGGAGAAGATGAACAGTTGCTATTGGTTAGGACTGGGGTAGTGGTGGGGCTAGAAAGGATAGGCAGGAAAGAGCTTGGGAGAGGGATGGCGATGTGTCTTTATGTCAGCACTAGCAAACCTCTCAGGGTTAGACAAGCAAACAGTGATTGTATCAATGTTAATTTCCTGGATTCCATGTGGACACAGGAATGCCAGATTACAACCACTGAGGGGAGACGGGGTGCTAGGACCTGGTCTACTATCTTGGCAACTTCCTGTGAATGACTAAGGCTCTTAAAACAAACGGCCTTTTGAAAAAGCAAATTCCTGCTAGGTAGGCAACTATAGAAGATGCAAGAAAAAATTTAAAAAATTTAAAATTTAGAATCGTTTGGCATTTGTTTTAGGATATTGGGATTTAATAGCTTAATTTCTGGTTTTGATCCTTCCCCCAGATATACCTCACATAACATAAACCACTATTTTTATTTATTTATTTATTTATTTATTTTGATTTTTCAAGGCAGGGTAGCTTTGGAACCTGTCCTGGAACTAGCTCTTGTAGACCAGGCTGGCCTCAAACTCACAGAGATCCTCCTGCCTCTGCCTCCCAAGGGCTGGGACTAAAGGCGTGCGTCACCACCGCCCGGCTAAACCACTATTTTTAAAAAAAATTGTATCATGCTTTTTTTTTAAAAAAAAATTGTATCAAATGTATCATGCTTATTTATTGTGTGTGCATGCTTGTGTGGAATTCAGAGAACAACTTGTAGGGATGGGTTCTGTCCTTTTATGTGAGTGCCTGGGATTGAACTCAGAGCCTCAGCCTTGGTCGCAAGCCCTGTTACTCCTGCTTTGCGTCCTTCGCCACTATATTATTCCAGAACATTTTCACCACATGCCTGCAAGCTCTGAACCCGCTGCCAGGCGCTGCGCACTCTCCCTCCTTCTAGCCCTTGCCAACCACAAATCCACATACTATCTCTCCAACTGTGCTTTTAAACCGGCTGCATCCAGGCAACAAGTGGTCGTTTGTTTCTGTCTCCCTGAGCACACCGGTTTTTAAGGCTCATCGGCTCTGTAACCCACAAGAGCATGCCATTCCTTTTTATGAATAAATAATATTCCACGTATGGCTATGTTTAATATTTTTGTTTTTCATAACATTTTTCTCCCCCTTCTTCTTTTACAGTCTCTTTTACAACTAGTTAGTTTATTCAACTCTCTTCAGCCAAGTCTTGTGACCCACAGCCTCTTTACCATTGACCTCAAGGCTGGCACATGTTGACATCTGGACCTTTTAGGTCCAGGTCTCCTACTACTCCACATCTGCTGCTGAAGTAAAGGTGCTTCTTTAGATGGGTCCTGACTTGGGATTCACAGGATCTGTATCCACGCAGCTCATCCAGGACTCATAAGCCAGGTGGAATGAATGGTCTGGAGACACTAGCGCCATATCTACCCAAGCATCAGAGCAAAACCAGTGGCTTCTTACTCACAGGCTTGGCCATCCTTAGATAGCAGGTACTAACTGTCGTCCCCAAAGCCACTTTTCTGAAGCTTGTCTTTTGAGACATGAACTCCACCTTGCGTGTCTCTCTCCTCCATGTTTGTGCCCAAGCCCAGCATATTACAGCAGAGGGAACAGAACCTGTTTCTGACAACCATGCCTCTCTCTCTCCCCGCTGGCACAGGTGAACCATGCTGGCTGCCTGCGACCTGCTGACTCATCACATTTGCCTCCCACTCAAGTCACTGAGCGACACTGTCAGGCACGCTTGTCCTTCTCACAAGTGGAAACATAGTCAGAAGAGGAGGCTCAGAGAGTTTCGGAATCCATTCTGAGGTCATGCCACTGTGTGTAACAGTTTCTGTGAGACTGAAACATCCTATCCTACAGGGAAGCTCCTTGAACAGGAAGGTAAACAATTCAAAACAGCTTCAGGAAGTCCCTGAGACGGACCAGATTCACAAGGTTTCCGTGCCAGAGTAGTGGAATGTCCCTCTGAGACAAACTGAGCTGCAGAGAAGACTGAGGCCAGCCCAGCTGCCTGTAGGAAGCAGAAATCAGCAGAGCTGCCTGGAAGAAGTTTAGCCCAGAGTAACCTGGAAAAGACATTCTTCAACCTGCTGAGCTGCCTGAGCTGCCTGCAGGCTGTGCAGTGCGCTCCAGGGGCCCAGCTTTGTGAGCAGTCGCCAGGCTGGGGCGGGCTTTGGTGATGCAGTTGTCTGTGAGTCATTTCTGCTCCTGTAGTAACTTTTAACCCATACTTCTATAAGTAGTCCCAATAAAACTCATTGTTTGACCAAGTTGGACCTTGTTAGTATCTACACTTTGGTCAGTCTTGGGATCCCTATCTGGGGTGAATAGATGCGTGTTGCGTCTCCCCAGGAAAAGTTTGTCGCACAACAGTTACCCTAACTGACAGGAACAGGATTTATCAGTCAAGTCCTCCAAACATAGATCAAGTCAGCCTTCCTGTGCGCACATCCTGCCTCCCTCCTTATTATCTGTTTCACTTTGAGTTTGGTTTCCTTGTCTGTAAAATGGGCTAATAATAAAAGCTGCCTCTTAAGGCTATTTGTAAAAACTGCAAAAGCCCTCTATAACTGAGAGCTAACCCATCTGACCTATAAGGGGCCTGGGGGACTATCCTCATGATTTTAATAGTATGCTGCTTTTTAAGAATGGGAAAGTGCCGTGGTTTGAATGTGAAATGTCCCCATAGCCTTATACGTTGAGTACTTGGTGCAAACTCAGCTGGTGGCTCCGTTTGGAAAGACTATGGAATCTTTTAGGAGGTAAGGACTTGCTGGGTCTCTTAGGAGGTAGAGGTCGCTGGGAGAGGGCCTTGAGCTTCTGGATCCTGGCTCCAGTTTCTGTTCACTCTGATTCCTGAGCGGGGATGCAATGTGACCAGCAACCTCTGGCTCCTGCCTTCCCACCGGATAGGCTGTATCTCCTCGAATGGTAAGCCAAAATGAACCTTTCCTCTATTACGCTGCTTCTTGCCAGGCATTTTGCCTCAACTACAAGAAAATAAGTTAAGGCAACGCCCTGCATCTACCTTGGGATTCTACCAGTGAGGTTATCACCTGGTGAGGTCCTCTGGTCATGACCCTTCAGAAGTGTGAACCAGATAAGCACCTTTTCATGAATGCACTCCATTGTCCTTGGTAGCAAAACATGAGTAAGGGCTCAGCAAGCCATCCTCAGCGATAGGAAGCCAGTCCGTGCCGCCTGTTTATGTCACGCATGGTCTCTGGTGGAAATAAGAGCAGCCACACACTTTCTGTGGACGAATCTTTCATCATGTAAAATTCCCCGGTCAAGACTCCGGTAACACATGGAGTGACAAAATGTGCCGTGTTCATACCTTAAAATAGCCTGGGGTAAAGAGAGATGAAGGGCTGGGCTATGACTCAGCGTGAATGAGGCTGTGATTTGTATACAAAGCGGGGGAACCACTCAAAAGACTGCATACAGTGTGGTTGCATTCACTACAAAGTCAAGCATGGAGATGCAGTGGTAAAGGATGGTCCAGACCACAGTCCAGCTCTCTGCCGTTGGAGCCGCCCTGCCCAAACTAGATCATTCTTCTCTGTCAGAAGACCAACAGGTCACCTCCCTGCAGATAATTATGCCCCTGGGCTGATTCTGAACACCCGGACTGTGTCCTGATATGCTCTATGGGATGGAGAGGGAAGATGGGCACAGGTTTGGGTCCTGGCTTGAGAAAGATCCAGACAGTACTGTAGACTCAAAATGACTAAGGAATGGCTGCTGTTCATGCTGTCTGAATGGATGAACATGCAATTAGGATGTAAGCTATTCGATTGAATTTAGTCGAACTTTCTCCCCCAGCACCTCTTAAGTTATCCCAAGGACTGTGGATCATTGTCCCAGAGGGTTCCAATGACAAGAACAGGGAAGCAGCCAGTCAGCCTTTATTGCATGGTCCTTTTACAGAATTTGGAGATGCCCAGACTTCTCGTGTGTGTGTGTGTGTGTGTGTGTGTGAATTTGTACACATGAATGCAGTGCTCTCAGAGGAGGGTGTCAGATTCCCTTGGGGCTGGAGTTACAGGTGGGTGATCTGCCTGATGTGAATTCCAGGAACTGACCTTGCATCTTGTACTATAGAGAGCAGATACACCATAACCACTGAACAATAGTTCCCACTACTTGTTTAATTTTCTTATAGTCCAAGCAAAAAAAAAACTTTTAAATGTCTTTCAAGCATTTCAGAAGCCAGGTCTTCACTCTATGCAGTCTTGGGCTTCATAATCTATCATAACTTTTTCTTGCACCCGAAATAGTTCTGCAAACGCCTTTAAAAGAAGACACACAAGTATCAGATCTGTGCAGAAGGCAACAATACTTTAAGAATGCCACGGCAAATTGAGCTGCGCTCTGAAAGCGGATTAAAGTTGTTTGAAAGGCTTCAAAGAGAAGGAACACTTTCATCCCAAGGCCCCCATCAAATCCATAGTCCTTCATTTCAGAAAAATTCCCAAGTCATTTAAAAGGCCAAAATATCGTTTTACAGTTTGGAAGTAGTAACAGAGACCCTTTCAGATGTTTGCCGAGCATTCTTCCTCCCTTGAAGGACTCCATACAGCTGAGCTTCCTTTGCAGAGACCGGCCCTAGCCAACAGATGACCCTCCTGTCACAGGGGTGGGGACAGCCTTCCCTAGGGCTCTGCCTTGAGTTTATGCCTAATGACTACCTGGAGAATTCCTGCAAACTGCAGAGTCAGGCATTTTCCCTGTTATTTCTGGGCGAGATTCGCATGTCTGTCACTGTGTGGAAGAACGCCCAGTCCCTTCAGAAGGCAACTCGAAAGGAGAGAAATCTTCCAAGAGAGAAGAAAAACAAGGCAGGCTGTAAGTGGGACCAACACTTCGCGGCTTTGCTCACCGCCTTCATCAGCTCAGAGGCAAACTCCCTTCCTCATCCTTTGCTGCCATGGAAACACTTGGCTGTAACTAACAAGCCCAATGGTCACAGTGAAGAAACTCATGGAGCTACCCACGCACCCTGTGCCTAAGGTTACATATGCAGCACCACTTTAGAAAGCGTTGAGGCAAATACCTTGCTATGAACTCTGTATTACATATGAGAAAGTCAAGGTGTACCTGGGCTAACTTCCTATATGGCAATGGCCTGTTGTCACAGAAACACAGTACTTGATCAGGATCCAAACACAAATTCATAAAGAAAATCTCTGTGTGTATGATGTACAGGTTGTATGTGTGTGCATGTATGTGTTCACATGTTTGAGAGTGTTACAGCAAACCCATGGAGCTCAGAGGACAGCCTCAAAGGTCGGGCTTCACCTTCTACGCTGTTTAAGGCAGAGTCTTTTATTACCTGCTCTTGCATACGCCAGGTTGTCTGGCCCACAAGTTACCGGGGCTGCCCCTGTCTCTGATCCTCACTTCACTGTCGGGCACCAGGATTGCAGGTGTGTGCCACTGTGTCCAGCTTTGCATAGGTTCTAGAGACTCAAACTCAAGCCCACATACTCACGTGCCAAGTGCTTTACTCATTGAGCCAGCTCCCCGGCCTGTTCATTGTTTTTTGAGGGACATGATCTTCCCCTGGAGACTGGGTTGACCAACATAACTCTATGCCGTACATTGACAGTTAGCTAGGTTAACTGTAACTCTGCATCCTTCTGTTTCAGCTTCTTGGATGCTGTGTTTGTAGGCGTGTATCACGGTGCCTAGCTTCCAGATCTTTCCGTTTCTGAAATTGTTCTTAGCCAGAACGATGCACAGCTGAAATATATATCAAAGCATCATGGGGAAGACCAGAGTGGCCAGTTAAGCTAGGCTTCCTTTGTGACATTGCATTGTAATTAGCCCACTTCCTGGGTCCCACCTAAGAGGTTTACTCATTTCACCTTCCCAGTAGACCAACATGACATATACTCCTCTGACCCTGGGAAAACGTTCTACTCCATTGGCCTCTTAGTGCCTGCTTCCTTCCTCCTGCCTCTGCAGTTCGTGGTAAGTGCCTGCTGACTACATTTTGCCTTCTACCCCCCCACGCCCCCGCTTTGCCTAACCCAAAAGCCACACAGGCAAAGAAGATAGGAGGAGATTTCAATTGTCTTCTGTGTTTGCTGAAGGGGAAGATACAGGAGGGCCTGCCTGGCCGGCTTAGCACACAACGCCAGAACACTGACCTCAGGCCACAGCCCCATCACTGATTCCCAGTAATCCTGCTCCAGAGGTGATAGAGTAGCCTTCCTTTTAGAAAGGAGATAAAAACAGTGAAGAAACAGCACTTGCTTTAGTGCTCTGAAAAGCTGGCGTCCTTCCAGAACAGACTTATGTACTTGGAAGAAAAAAAGAGAGAGAGAGAGAGATGGGATTTGGGCCAAGAATGGTTCTACAAACGAGAGAAATATAGAGCAGGCAGCTGGAGCAAAGCGGCCAAGTGGTACCACCAGCTGCAGGCCCATTAATTAACGTTCCCTGGTATGTGGCTGTTCCCGTGACCTTGATTCTTGTTGAATTCACAGAGATAATTTTAACAGAGCCTCTACTTTTCTCACTGGAGTATATTTATCCAAGGAGTACCTTACATATTTCCCCTCATCTCTCCAAGCAGTAAATTTATTCTAATTGCAAAGAGATACAGTAAAAGCCTGATTGAATGCTTGGCAGTTTATAGAGATTTATTTCTGGGGCTTAAGGGTTTTTTTTAGAGTATGTGACTGGAAGAAGGGTTGAGGGGAGCTGGGGGAAAGGAGCCCAAGAGAAAATGTAGGTTTAATGGATCTATAAAATGACCCCATTGTAGATAAATGTTACTCCGCCGGAGTTTAAACGCTTGACTGAAGCCAGCGTCCGTGACAGCCAGTCTGATGTGAGGTGTCTAGAGCCTCGCATGCTTCTCTTCAGGTTTCCGTGTGAAAGTTGTTGTTCTCCAGGTAGAGAGGTAGGGGATGGGGGTGTTTTCCTGGGTGGGGAGTGGGTAGAAAGTATATTTAACTGCACGTCTCCAAGTATTAACTTACAGGTTTGAAAAGAGGCTAACGGGAGCCACCCATACCTGCCCTGCAGCCCACTGCCATCTCGGAATCCTGAAGCTCTGGAGTTTTGACAGCTTGCTCTCTATCCCTGAGCTTCCAGCCAGCGATGGGGGGGGATCTCTCAAAGCACAGTCACCTCAGGCTCTTCCAGCTAATAATGAGATAGACGGATGCTTCAACCCTAACAGGGCCTTCAGCTTAAAATAGGCTTTGCATGCACACACTACTGAACTTTTCCCCGAAAACCCTCCAGGCTTTT